TGTATCTATGTATATTATATATGTACTTTATTTATACTTTATATATGTATGTATACTATCGTGCGTATACATATACATATATATATATATATACATATAAGAATACAGGGTTTTATATAAATGCATATATATGTATGTATGCATATATAAACATACAAATATATATACACGCATATATATATATATATATATATATATATATATATATATATATATATATATTTCTACCTATCACACTGCGTTGCTGGGAATCATCACCTGACAGCGATCATTTGATGATTTATATCACACTGGGATCTTTCATATCATTTTCCTTTTTGTCTCACCGCACTATGTAACAACAGCAACGGAGAAGAATCATAGAAACTTGGAGAACTTGGGCACACTCGTTAACTCAACTATCATTTATGTGTGCACACGGTTAGGAGGCGTCGAAGGGGATCATGTGCGTGCGTGCGGGGCTGCGTGCGTACGTACACGCTTGAGTAGATGGGTGGGTGTGCGAGCGTGCTCGGATCTCCAGATCGGGTGGTTCTACACGATGTTCGCACGCGTTGGTGGCGGTAGTGGTGGTGGTGGTAATGGTGATGGCGGTAGTGGTGGTGGTGTTGATGGCGGTGGCGGTGGCAGCGGCGGCGTTGGCGGTGGCGGCAGTTGGGATGGTAACGGCGGCGGTCGTCGGAGTTCCGGATATCGCGGTCTCGGTCACGCCGACGTTGGCTCGCCGTTATTACTCCAACCTGGATGAGAACTTCGTGGAGCTCGTTCAGGGCGAGTAGTGATTACCGTAATCGCCGTGGTTGCCGTCGTAGCCGTCGTTGCCGTCGTTGCTCCGTAAGGGTTCTGATACCGGTGTGCCTCTGTCCAGCTCGCTGACGACGCTACGCCGCACCTGAAACATAATTGTCCGAAGGGTTAGTTAGTTATGGGCTGTCCTGACGTTCGTCCATTATAGGATGGTCGTACGTATGCGTTCACGGGGTTAACGGGATTGTCATCTACGTAGGCTTTATTGCCAATAAGATTCGATAGCGAACGCGAGCGACGGAGTCACTTCCCCGACGACGACTGGTACCCGCGACTGACGGGGGTCGTCGCCAGTGACAGACGCCGAACCCGCCGCCGGAGTCAAAACACGCGGCCACGTGACTAGAGACATCGTCCCGGCGGCCAGCGATTAGAGCGAATTCCCGTGCACAAGGGTATCTTCGGCGACGGTGTTCCGCGTGGGCGGACATGAACGATCGCCTAAGTTCACGGAGTCAACGAGAACAAAACGAAGTTGTCTCGCGATCCCTTTTCCCAAAGCCGCTGATATTCTTTTTTTGGCAGCTTGTTGGGCACCCGAGGCACTGCCCTTACTTCGTAAGACGGCGCACTCGGTAATCTCGGTAATTCTTTCACGCTTTTTTCACCCGGTAATGATGGAGCTTCCGATGAGAGAGACGGAGGCATGGAGCATCTCTTCGCGCACGATTTACGGGGCGCATATGAGGCTGAAATTCCCGTTGGAAGAGTGGCGGCGTTAATAGCTTGCAGATTCGCGATCTTACTATTGCGTTTGTCTATGGCGCTTGCTCTAGCAACCTAATATGCTATTATTATGTTTATCATTGTTATCATTGTTATAATTATTATCATTTTTGTCGTCGTCGTTGTTGTTGTTGTTGTTGTTGTTGTTGTTGTTGTTGTTGTTGTTATTATTGTTGTTGTTGTTGTTGTTGTCATTATCATGGACCTTAGAGTTTTGTACGTAAATTGAACGTTGTAGGAAATATTCCCAATATTCGTTAGGTCGCGAATTCTTATAAATTAATTCGAGCTGTGATTATGCAGTAAATGCTCCTTGGCTTGGCTCATTGAATTGAAAAGTTATATCACATTTGATTCAAAGCCTTCCCCATTAGCTAATAATGTAATTCTATTTATATTTATGATACGTTTGCTCTCAAAATTTCTACATTTCGCAATTTTCCTAAAACTAAACTCTCATAAAATCATTTTTCATATTATCATTATAATAGAATTTCGTTTGGATTGTACATATGACTATTAATGAAGCGTTGACATTGAAATTTAAGGAATTTGTATAGTGAGATATAAAGATTTATATGTAAGAAACGAAGGATAGATTAATGTTCCATCTTTGTAGGCCTCTTCTATTCATTTATTTATTTTCTTTGTTGAAATTATAATTAAATGATGCATTGGGAAATTTACTTTCGCAGAAAAATTGCCCACTTTTCCGTGAAAAATAAAATCAACGAAAAATAATACCTGAATATAAATGAAATACAAAAATGTTGTAAAGCTAATTTAATGGCGTATTAACAGCTTACCAATAAATTATGACAAATTCTTAAAATTATTAAAATAGGCCTGACAAAATAGTCGAAATCTGTAACATCGTTCCTCCACTAATTATAGATCGCATATTTAAATAGTTTTGATATTTCAGTAGATTAAATATTCATTCCTACACTCTAATAGATCAATATTATATTTAAAATGCTTGTATCGAATAAAATTTCTTTTCGTTATAAATATTTTTAGCTTATAATAAGTTTCTCGTTATTGGGTTAAAAATCAAATTTAAAGTCTCATCTTTTTGCCATATATTCCCTAACTTTTCATTAAAGATCTATGAAAACACCATCGACAGCTCACTAATTAAACAATTAATTCAACTTGATACACAATATATATTCAGATTTAATGCACAAAGTTAATTACACGTTTGTTCGTTTTATTCAAGTCCTTAGGATAAATCCTTAGCTCAAAGAATTTCCTCGCCTTAAACAGTTTATTATAAATATGTAAATGTAATACGCTCGGCCAATGCTCGTCCGTTAAAATTTTCCTTGACAAACGCCAACAATACGAAATGTGCGTATTAATTGACTAAATTAGAATAAAGAGACGAACGATTGAGTTTTCGGACTTAGTAGGCTAAGATTAAGTGACATAGAAATTTCGTGGCTTTAGAGAAGTCTGGGATTTCTATATTGAAAATGTCAGGCTAAGTAGGTGCGCTAAAATTACTTATCAGTCGATACGAAAAATCGAAAATCCATTTCTTTAGCGAACGATCGATAATAAGAAGGGACACGAATCTTCCCTACCGACTGCCGAGCCTTCGGCCGCCTATAGATCCTTTCTCGTCCTACCCACCCAGCAGGATCGAAAACTCTCTCGATATCGTAGGTAACTGCCAACGAGTGCCAAGCTCATTTTTATCATAATATCATAGGGAGAAGGGCGATCTGGTGGATTAAATCCATGCTAAACATTAATGCAAAAGCATCGTCAAAGGGGGAGATTGTCGATTGTGTATGAGGTGGTGATGTGGGTGCCGGGGTGGGGTAGGAGTACAATAAGTCATAGCTCGGCGTCACGACTGCGCCTTCAGAATATTATTAGCTCCCGCCTAAGATTGAGTGTGCAATTTCCGTCGGCCATGTACGTAAATTATCGCAGGAAGAGATGCTGGGAGGAAAGGAAAAAAAGGAACGAGGTGCCGAAGGACGAGAGGCACAATTAAATAGCAAAGAAAACAAGGAAGCACTGGCCGCCACACTCCATATATTGTTTCGATAAAGTCGAAAAGTCCGAGAGACGCCATAAACAACTTGCTAGAAAGCGGCTCACTATAGGCCGCCGCAAGAACCCGATGAATTGAAAAGGACGATAAGCTCGTGCGAAAATTGAATGCCCCGAGTATCCAGCCGCGTGTACCCACACGTAGCCGGCACCATTGTCACACTCCGTGAAGGGAAAAAGCGGGCGCGCAACGTGAGGAGATAAGCGCGCCCGAGCGAGCATTCGCGAATATAGAATAAAACGAGCCGGGCGCGTAACGACCTCTCGCTCTCTTCCACCAGATTCATCTATCCGGCTCTATCTCGCTCTCGGGCAACGGGTTCGGTATGGGGCGCGAGCGCGCGAGGGGAGCCGGGATCGGAAGGACTCTTGGGAGTTTGCGCGACGTACGGTGGGAGCGCGGGGTGGAGGACGTAGCCGAGGATGAGGGGCGATGGGAGAGCGATGCGGGGGACGACGATGGGCTGGTGTTTGAGCGGTGTAGAGACGGGTTTAGGAGGAAGCGGGGAGTGCGAGCGAGAGTGAGTGAGAGAGAGAGGAGCTCGGGCCCGACACGGGACGATCGCGATTAACATTCCGGCCGCTAGCTCGCTGTTCACACGGCGCTTTCATTAATTCCAGCGTATTGATTCCACGGATTGATGAATGGCCGCCGATAGCGATTCCATGCCGAAGCTATACGTCCCGCGTATAAATTTCCCTCCCTCCGCCCGCCCTCCTGTCCAAGATTTGAACTCAATTCTCCGGCATCGGCGCTACCGGCCTTTCCCAACTTTGCCTTGGTAACCATTGACTCGGGAGCGGGATGGTCCCAGCACTCGGTAGGCTGTGGAATGGTTGATCGTCGATTGCGATGGGGTTGGGATGGGGTGGGGTGAGGCGGAGGCGAGCAGTCTACGGGTGCTCTTCCGCCTAAAACAAATTCAACTTCCCAGCTCGTTCGTACTGGAATTTCGTGGGACGAATAATGATTTGCCGTTTAACTCGGCGTAGGCTATTTCGCGAAATGTCGCTTAACCCCTCGTGACTCATCTGATTACGGATTTTGCCGATCGAGCGGCAGTCAGCACGACTCGGCCAGCACGGAACTCGTCCTTTTCCTTTTTCATAATCGTGCGCGTCTCGATACTTTACGAAAGTCATAATGCCGACGTAGAGACTAATGACGTTGCGCGCTGCGACACGAGCCTGCAAACATTGCCGAAATTTAATTCCCCCACTTTCGTTGCGCCAAAGAGAGATGGATGTGGAGTAGCGGCATTGTGCACGGATTCGACATGTATAGGGCTGGACTGGTCCAGCGAGCGATATTTAATCATTGAATCGCGACTTGACTCAATTTTCCCACCCAAATTCATTTAGTCCAATTTAGACGACAATGAGGAAGCGGCTTCTCCCGCGTTCTATCCCCCCCCCCCCCCCGCC